CCCCCCTAATTAATTAATTTTATATTTAAAAAAATATATTAATTAAAAAAATTAAAAAACCATTGGAGGTCGTTTTTGACATCAGAAACTAACTTTAAATAACTTTACCGAATGAAAATCCGTGCACTACAACTTAGGAACCATGAAATAAATTTGATAAAAAACTCCCATTAAAAAACAATTAAGCCTTAATCGAGCCTTATTAAAGGCTAATTAAAATCGCGATAAAATTTTTTCGCGCGGGCAAAAAATTTTGAAAAAAATTGGGGACCTAAAAAACATTCCAAAAATTCAAAAAAAAAAAAATTAAGAAATGGCCTTAAGGACCACGTTTTTCGTAAGGCTATGTAGGCTTGACGAATTTAACTAACCTATTATGGATTCAGCTAGGTCCACAATGGGACGACTGGGTAGTGAGGGATGAAGCCCGACATCTCCAGATGGACCATTCCCCGAAAACTTCCTGGATTTTTTCGACTCGTCCGGATCCTGGATTCCCAGAGAAGCTTTTATAATTTTAAAGTGCACATACAACGGAGTATAGACTTAAAAATTTGATTATATTTTATTGTATATCAGTGTTTTTCAACCTTTTTTTCGTCGCGTACCGGTTGAAAGACACTGCTGTATTTAATGTATATTTAGTTTATATATATTTCAACGTTTATAAGGTAATAAATATTTTTATAAGTTATTAGGGGATTTTTCGGGATTTTATCATGTCATTTTTAGGGATACAGGCTCAATGACACGTGGCAACGCGACTCTGTACTATATTTTCACGTTAGGTGGCGCAAGTTGAAGTAATTTGTTATTTAACGAAATTAGTAAGATTTTATTTATTTTCAGTAAGTATTTTTAATTTTTAAAAGTAATTGTTACAATTACAGTAAAGAATTTATATTAGAATTTAACGAAAAAATCAATGTCTTAAAATTTATGTTAAAATATATAATATTTTCAATACAATATAGCAATAACTATAACCACGTGTTCTCCATGTGTTATAATTAGGGTTAGGATTACGTAGCCACAAAAAATCAAAAAAGTATTAATAAAAATTAAAAAAATAGCAAATTGCCAAATAAATTTTCATTTCTGAGAAATATAAAGAATAACAGCAATAACAAGTAAATTTTCGAACTCTACTTAAGTGCTATTAATATAGTACGTATGTAATACTCTTGTGTTGTTATAACGTAGTTTTATAGTTTTCTGATCTGTGTTAGCTAAAATTCAGCTAAGGAAAGCACTTTCCTTCCTGAGTTTTAAAAATGTTTAAACATTGGCTGCTCTGAGCTGTTTACATTCATCAAAATCCACAAAGAAGAAAAGAACCAGTGGTTGATAAGTGCTGCTCTCCTGTATATCTACTGGAGAAACACCTTCAAGCCATTATCTCTTCTCATTTTGAAGAATACATATTACAATCGTATAACCTAGTCCAGTGTTCTGCAAACTTTTTCTACTTATGGCACACCTATGACTTGACATGACTCAACACGGCACACAAAAATGTTATTCCCCTCAAAAATGTATGATATGATACTATTAATACTATGAATTTCGTAATGCCATAAACCTATTATTATTATTATATTGAGTTTTGTGAGTTACACTTGGTTGACACTGATGGCTGTGTACTATGCCAGACCAGAGTCAAGGCATAGCAACCAAAACAAAACTAAAATTAAATAAGTGTGTTAATGTCTGTATTCAGGAATTTCCTAACAATATGGCATGTATTCAGTATAGTGGCCTTCTGTAGTGTTATGTATGTATTTCTATTCAATTGTAATCTTCCAGGCTTTTGTGCAGTGTGTGGGTATGACACCTGTTGTGTAGTGTGTGGGTAAAGCACCCTATCCATCCTCCACAGATTCCTTATTTCCTGGGCAAGTTCTGTGTACTTGCTGATTTTTTCAGTCATGTATTTTGTACATTGTGAGTGCTTGGAATGGATATGTCTATAATGTAAGTGATTTTATTGTGTTTGTCAATGAGTGTGATGTCTGGTCTGTTGTGGTAAATTGTTTTATCTGTAATTATGGCTCTGTCGTAGTACAGTTTGTGCGTGTTGTTTTTCAATACTGTCTGTGGAATGTATTTGTAGTATGGTTCATGGATGTCTACCAATTTGTGTTTATTTGCAAGCTCTTGGTGTATTGTATTTGCTACTTGATTATGTCTGTGTAAATAATCTGTGGCTGGAAAAATGGCTTTTTATAAGAAGAAGAACCTTCTTATTGGAAAAATGAACCAAACACTTAAAAAAAAGTTAATAAAATGCTTTTCCTGGAGCATAACTTTATATGGAGCAGAAACTTGGACCTTAAGGAAAATGGAAACAAACTACCTTGAAGCATATGAAATGTAGTTATGGCGAAGAATGGAGAAAATCAAGTGGACAGAAAAGGTTAAGAATGAAGATGTTTTAAATTTGGTCCAGGAACAGTGATGTCTTTTAAAAACAATACAAAGAAGAAAAAAATAACTGGTTAGGTCATATATTGCAAGGAGAAGGATTAATGCGAGTGGCATTAGAAGGAAAAATTGATGCAAGTGTGACCGTAGGGTCGTCACCTCTTTGGCGCCCTGTCAGGATGACACCACCGAGTCTCTAGGGGACTCGGAAATCGCGACGTTAAGTCTAAAGATTCGCGAGCGGTAGCGTGTGAGCGCTTGGATTCGGAGTAGAGGTGAGGAGAGAGACGAGGAAGTGACTCACTCGGACTCCATATGTTCTAACAAAAATTCCGTTTTAATAATAAACAAAGAAAATACAGAGATATCGGGCATATTAGCGGACTTAATTATACTATTCCGTTCGAGAGAGAGAGTTTACAACCGA